TCCCTGGCTTGTCTGACCATTCTCCTGCTCCTGATCCCTGGCTTGTCTGACCATTCTCCTCTGCCTGACCCTCTGTACCACGCTGCCCGCTACCTGCTGAACCTGGCCTGTGACCCCGACCATTCTCCGCTTGCTCCCCCTGTACCTACCTGCCCGATTGATATTGACCCGGCCTGCCTGACGACGCTTGCATTGTATGTACTGTTATCTGTGGGTGGTTGGTTGGGTTTGTTTTTTGCACTGTATTATGTTTAGTATTGCACTGCGTTTATGTTTGTATTGTTAGTGTTAATAAATTATATTGTTTATAACATATCTGAAGTCTGCGTTTCCCTGCGTCAGTCACACACCTCTGGTCATACCCGGGAGCCCTGACAGTTAGAGCCTTCATCCCTGTCAGGAACCATAAACCAGGCGGAGACAGAAAGTGCAGTTAAAATCACACCATAATGAAATAGCAAAATGAACACAGTTCAGGAATGTACTCAAAAACAGAAGCCAGGGTTTGGAGGCCAGAGCGGGTAATCAGACGAGCCGGGGTCAGGAAACCAGAAGTCGGCGTAGTCAGAAGAAAAAAACAGGAATAGGAATTGAAAGAGAAGTCAGCCAGACTGAGTTGTACATAGGAATACACTGGAGATCATAGACCGCGCAAGGGCAAGGAGGTAATGAGCTAAGCTGCTTATCACGTAGCTGGTGATGGAGGCCAATGGAGAGAGGGCTTCCCTTGCGGCTAAGTTCCGGACTCCCCTGAGAGTGGGACAGTGGGAGTCAGGCCCAAAGTGGCACAAGTCGCCTGTAGGAGTGCTAGTTGGTGGTCCACTTAGAAGCACAGCTGGTGCACGGAGATAGGTCTGCAGACAGGAGGGGCCTGTGTGTGGTATGCAAGCCCTTCCGGGATTTAGATGTTTACTGGATAGCCGGTTCAAGCCAAGATCAGGTACCAGGTGGGAATCAGAGCAGACGTAGTCAGATGGGATAGCCGAGGTCATACACAGAGGAGCCTGGCCGAGATCAGATCAGGGGTTAAACAGGGTAGACAGGTCCAAGAGCAAGCCGAGTCAGTAACAGGAAATCACAGGTCACAGTAAACAGGAACAAGGCACTGGGAGCTAGAGATCATCCAGCAGCTTTAGGAAGTGATGAGCCTCCTTATAAAGGCCATCTGGCACCAAACTGGTGTGTGCTTCTGCGGCCATGCAGGGTACTGGCAGAATTGCCATATCTTTCAGAACATCTGCCGTGGACAGGACCCTGACACTGCTATAATAGCCAATAGGGCTGGCTGTAGGCTGCACCCTCTCTTTTTAAATTTTTAAAAGATGCACCTGACGCTCCTGGTTTCCTGTAGCATCATATGACAATCCAGTAAAATATTTGACCCGGAAGTGAACCTTCACATTCCATCATGCACTGCCTTAAAGGGATAGGGGTTCTGAAGTCTGGAAGCTTTGAAGAGTCTTGAAAGGGATTGTCAGAGCTGGGCTTCTGCTACTTAATATACTCATGAGGCAGGTAATGGTATCCAGGTGAGTCACTGTGGAGACGAGTGTTGGGAATGAACCAACAGCTGAGCAGCTTCTGAGCACTGAAAGAAAAGAGTTGCTCATTAAGTAGCAGGAGCCCTGCTCTGACAATCCCTGTGTATCCAGAGCAGGGGCTCTTCCAGACACTACCCTGTGGAGAAGGTTTAGGGTTCCCGTCAGCTGCCCACCTACATCCCTTGAGTCCTTCCAGTGAAAATGTAAACAGGCATCTGTATTGACTGCTTATCTGTCCCTACTGAGTATCTCATAGAAGGAGCCGCCATCCCCTGTCTCATCATCATACGATCATGAATCTTGTCATGGTATACTCGGTCCAACAATGTCAGACAATGAGACAATACAGTGAAGGAAATGCGTATTTGCTCCCCTGCTGATGTTGAATGTTTGCCCACTCACAAAGAAGTGATCGGTCTAAAATCGAATGTTCGGTGTATTGTAACACTGAGAGACAGAATAGCAACAACAAATTCAGCAGAAATGCATGTCTAACAAATGATGACTGATCTGATCTGCATGAGGGAAATAAGGATTTGATCCCCTATCATTCAGCAGGATTTCTGGCTACCAGGTGTCTTTCATACAGGTAACAAGCTGAGATTAGAAGCATTCTCTTAAAGGGAGTGCTGCTAATCTCATTTTGTACCTGTATAAAAGACACCTGTCCACAGGAGCAATCAAACAATCAGATTCAAAACTCTCCACCATGGCAAAGACCAAAGAGCTGTCCAAGGATGTCAGGGACAAGATTGTAGACCTACACAAGGCTGGACTAGGCTACCAAACTATGGCCAAGCAGCTTGGTGAGAAGGTGACAACAGTTGGTGCAATCATTCACAAATGGAAGAAACACAAAACAAGTGTCAGTCTCCCTAGGTCTGGTGCACCATGCAAGATCTCACCTCGTGGAGTGTCAATGATCATGAGAACAGTGAGGAATCATCCCAGAACTACAAGTGAGAGATCTTGTCAATGATCTCCAGGCAGCTGGGACCACAGTCACCAAGAAAACAATTGGTAACACACTACACCGACAAGGACTGAAATCCTGCAGTGCCCGCAAGGTCCCTCTGCTCAAGAAAGCACATGTCCAGGCCCTCTGAAGTTTGCCACTGAACATCTGAATGATGCAGAGGAGGACTGGTGGAAAGTGTTGTGGTCAGATGAGACCAAAATCCAGCTTTTTGGCATCAACTCAACTCGCCGTGTTTGGAGGAGGAGGAATGCTGCCTATGACCCCAAGAACACCATCCCAACTGGCAAACGTGGTGGAAACATTCTGCTTTGGGGGTGTTTTTCTGCTAAGGGGACAGGACAACTGCACCGCATCAAAGGGACGCTGGATGGGGCAATGTACCCTCAAATCTTGGGTGAGAACCTTCTTCCCTCAGCCAGGGCATTGAAAATGGGTCGTGGATGGGTATTCCAGCATGACAATGACCCAAAACACACGGCCAAGGGAACAAAGGAGGGGCTCAAGAAGAAGCACATTAAATCTGTGGAGGGTGCTGAAAGTTCGAGTTGCCAAACGTCAGCCACCAAACCGTAATGACTTGGAGAGGATCTGCCAAGAGGAGTGGGCCAAAATCCCTCCTGAGATGTGTGCAAACCTGGGGGCCAACTCCAGGAAACGTCTGACCTCTGTGATTGCCAACAAGGGATTTGCCACCAAGTACTAAGTCATGTTTTGTGAAGGGGATCAAATCCTTATTTCCCTCATGAACATGCAGATCATCAGTCATCATTTGTTAGACATGCATTTCTGCTGAATTTGTTGTTGCTATTCTGTCTCTCAGTGTTACAATACACCGAACATTCGATTTTTAGACCGATCATTTCTTTGTGAGTGGGCAAACATTCAACATCAGCAGGGGAGGAAATACGCATTTCCTTCACTGTGTGTGTGTGTGTGTGTGTGTATATATATATATATATATATATATTTACATGAGAAATAAAAGGGAGATTGCATCATTTTGCACCAGAATGCTTTTTATTATTTGTTTTAATACTGTATAAATAAATATGTTGGTAGTAGCGGAGTCTGTGTGAATGAAGTGCTGATACAATGTAGCGATTACCTGGAAAGTTACAAATGTATACATTGGTATTCAGTTTATGCAATTAAGTAACTTGGTGTTGCACTCTGAAGGAATCTAATACTTGCTTCCCTTGGGATCGGTGGAGATATAGTATTTTTTTCTCTATGAAAGGTTACATCTGAAAACATCATATAAACCACTTTCAGCCAGCAGGTGACACTGTGTATGCTGATTACACAGCTCTACCACACAAATGGCCCATCCTGCCATGTAGAATAATTTGTTTTGCTCCTTAATTCATAAGCAATATCTAGTTACTCGGCTCTCGATTTTTTTTTTTATGTCATTGAAGCTACTGCTGAAGGTCAGGGGAGATCAGACTACACTGCTAGAGGGACCCAACCAGCAGTGACCCCCCCCCTTCTCTCTCACCATGATATCCTCCATGGAAGCTTCTACTGAAGGTCAGGGGAGATCAGACTACACTGCTAGAGGGACCCCCAACCAGCAGTGACCCCTCCTCCTTCTCTCTCACCATGATGTCCTCCATGGAAGCTTCTGCTGAAGGTCAGGGGAGTCAGACTACACTCCTAGAGACCCAACCCAGTGACCCCCCCTCCTCCTTCTCTCTCAGCATGATGTCCTCCATGGAAGCTTCTGCTGAAGGTCAGGGGAGATTAGACCACACTGCTAGAGAGACCCAACCAGCAGTGACCCCTCCTTCTCTCTCAGCATGATGTCCTCCATGGAAGCTTCTGCTGAAGGTCAGGGGAGATAAGACTACACTGCTAGAGGGACCCAACCAGCAGTGACCCCCCCTCCTCCTTCTCTCTCACCGTGATGTCCTCCATGGAAACTTCTGCTGAACGTCAGGGGAGATCAGACTACACTGCCAGAGGGACCCAACTAGCAGAGTCTCACCATGATGTCCTCCATGTCCTTCTGCTGAAGGACAGGGGAGATCAGACTACACTGCTAGAGGGACCCAACCAGCAGTGACCCCCCCCCCTTCTCTCTCACCATGATGTCCTCCATGGAAGCTTCTGCTGAAGGTCAGGGAAGATCAAAACTACACTGCTAGAGGGACCCAACCAGCAGTGACCCCCCCCCCTCCTTCTCTCTCCTAGCAGAGGAATCCAGACACAACTTTGAAGTCTTTAGTGATCTCTGATCTCCTTATAAAGTGTTTTTCTTCTATGATAAAGATCAGAGGAGCGCTCAGCCACGTGTTTTCTGAGGTGTATATCAAGGTTGTGCTTCTTCCCAGTGTGAGATCTCTGATGTACGGCAACATATCATCCATAGAGAAGACATTTCCCGCACTCAGGACACTAATACACCTCGATGGCTGTGTGGGCTCTCTGTTGTTTGAGAAAATAAAGCTTCTGTGAAAACATATCCCGTACTCGGGTCTCTAACACACCTTGAAGGTTGTGTGCGATCTTTGATGAATGGAAAGTTGGGCCTTGCGTGCAAAACATTTCCCACAGTCATGGCAGAAATACAGCTTCTCCCCTCTGTGAGATCTCTGATGTTCAGAAAGATTGTACTTCTGTGAAAAACGTTTCCCGCACTCAAGGCAGCAATGTGGCTTCTCACCCGTGTGAGACCTCCGATGTCTGTGAAAACTGGACTTGTCTGCAAAACGTTTCCCGCACTCAGGACAAGAAAACGGCTTCTCCCCCGTGTGTGATCTCTGATGTGTGTTAAGATGGGCCTTCTGCGCAAAACATTTCCTGCACTCGGGGCAAGAATACGGCTTCTCCCCCGTGTGACATCTCTTATGTTCAGAAAGATAAGACTTCCTTGAAAAACATTTCCCGCACTCAGGGCAGGAGTACATCTTCTCGCCCGTGTGAATCCTCTGATGTCTGGAAAGACTGTACTTCTCTGAAAAACCTTTCCCGCACTCAGTACAGGAATACGGCTTTACTATTGTGTGAGATATTTGATGTCTGACAAGTTCTGATTTCCGGGGAATAACATTTCCAGCACACAGGACAGGAATGAAGCTTCACACCCATGTGGGACCTCTGATGTACAGAAAGACTTAATTCAGAGCAAAAACCTTCCCCACATTCCACACAGGAAAATCTCTTCTCCCCCTGAACCCCGGCCCCATCCCCCACAGTACGAGGTTGCTCAGAGTCAGAGGGATCCCATGGTCTCTCCACACTGTGAAGTCCTCCATCCATAGTGGAGCTCATTGTCTTTTCTCTCCGGCATAATCTCCTGGGATGTCCTCATCTTCCATTTTACAACCTGGAGATAAAGTGAGACGATCCTTTGAGGGTTTCCCCATGACGGGTCCTGGAAAAATAGAAAAACATCATCAATAGATAGGAGAGGGTTAGTTCACTTCTATCAAGATTCCATCTGGATCAGGGAGATAGGAGGGAGCAGATGTCCTCTGTGAATGTCCCAACCAGCTGGGACTTTTCCCTCTTCAGTCAAAGGGCCTTTGCTCCTCCTCCCAGATCACTTCTACATTTACACTGCCTTGTCAGAGGAGCAGGAACCAATGGGGGGGGGGGGGGGGGGGGGGCAGTAACAGAGCAGAGATAAGAGAAGAATATATTCTGGTCACCTGTGCTGATCTCTGTAGGAGTGTCCTCCTCTAGGAATGTCCTCCTCATTCCAGCCTCCTCCGTATATTGCTGATCATCCCTCACATACGTCTCTTCTACTTCACCCTCAACTTTCATGTTCATCAGATCTTCACCCTAAACCAACAGAATGGCAGAAAATAATATCTGTAACATAGAAGGATTTATGATGTGAGATCACATAGAACATCTCATCTTGTAGAGTCCACACATCGTCTCCACGTCAGAGTGTTCCATCACTTTATGTTCCCGACCCTCAACTCCACCTACCTGATGATGGTGAGGGATGGTGTGATCTTCCTGTGTGAAATCCTGGGAATACAGAGGATGGGGACATCTCTCTGGTGGGTTCCCATGACTGGATCCACCTACCTGATGATGGTGAGGGATGGTGTGATCTTCCTGTGTGGAATCCCGGGAATACAGAGGACAGGGACATCTCTCTGGTGGGTTCCTGGTATTAGGTGACTCCATCATATCCTTGTGTCCTTCCAAAAGCTCCTCCATCTCACCATATTCCTCAACCTCCTCTTTATACTCTTCTTTAACAATAATGATACAATCCTCGAGGATTCCACTCTGAATATATAATAAAACACTCAATTTAACAAACAAGCATGTGTATAAATCACAACTATTAACGATTGTTCCTCATCTACCTGATGATGGTGAGGGATGGTGTGACCTTCCTGTGTGGGATCCCGGGAATACAGAGGACGGGGACATCTCTCTGGTGGGTTCCCATGACTGGATCCATCTACCTGATGATGGTGAGGGATGGTGTGACCTTCCTGTGTGGAATCCCGGGAATACAGAGGACGGGGACATCTCTCTGGTGGGTTCCCATGACTGGATCCATCTGTAGGAAACACACACACTGACTGAATTCATTGTTTCTATGTGTTTATCAGATGATGAGGGATCTAGGTGGATCCTCCGTACTGCTCTCTCCTTTCCAATAAAGTCTCCTCTTACCCGGTGATGTGAGGGGCGGCTGATTGTCCATCATGACGTCCTTGTAGAGGTCCTTGTGTCCTTCTAAATACTCCCACTCCTCCATGGAGAAATAGACAGTGACACCCTGACACCTTATAGGAACCTGACACACACAATGATACAGTCACCATCCAGACACATCCCTTGTCTGTTACTGGAGAATGTCCCAGAATTTCCCGGCACCGCTCACCTCTCCTGTCAGCAGCTCCATCATCTTCTTGGTGACTTCTAGAATCTTCTGCATGTTGGATCTCTCAGGGTTTAGGGAATCACATGGAGGCACTGTGATGGTCATATGATCACCTGACTTCAGAAGAGGAAATCTCTGTATTGGGGAACCAATAGGAACATCATGTTAGACTCCCAGAATCCTCCTCACCTCTCCGGTCAGGTATGTGTTTTATTAATAGAGATGAGAGTGAAGTCATGTGACCTCCCAGAATCCTCCTCACCTCTCCAGTCAGGTCTGTGTTTTATTAATAAAGATAAGTGATGTCATGTGACCTCCCTGAATCCTCCTCACCTCTCCAGTCAGGTCTGTGTTTTATTAATAGAGATGAGAGTGATGTCATGTGACCTTCCAGAATCCTCCTCACCTCTCCGGTCAGGTCTGGGTTTTATTAATAAAGATGAGAGTGACGTCATGTGACCTCCCAGAATCCTCCTCACCTCTCCGGTCAGGTCCGTGTTTTATTAATAGACATGAGAGTGATGTCATGTGACCTCCCAGAATCCTCCTCACCTCTCCGGTCAGGTCTGTGTTTTATGAATAGAGATGAAAGTGATGTCATGTGACCTCCCAGAATCCTCACCCTCTCCGGTCAGCAGGTAGATGATCTCCAGGGTGAGGTTTAGTATCTTCTCAGTCATGTGACTCCGTTCCTCCTCCATCCTCATTGATGTGGTCATGTGATCTATGTGGGTTTCTCTGTAGATGGATAGCAGATAATTATCTGGACTATACGAGTTGTACAATGTCAGGATGGGAATATAAGGGGTTAATAGACAGTGTGTCTCCAGTGGATGTTGCTGAGCAGGGAAGTAAGTAGAAGGTGAGCACTCCAGCAGGAGGGAGAAAGTAATGTTAAGGCTGCACAAATTCAGGGCAGGCCACATCTGTAGACCATTACAGCCACAACACGCACACTGGTGGCCATTAGTCCGCCAACATTTCTAACGCATCCTCCTCCTGCTCAGATTCTGTCATAACCCCACAAACTGGCTATGAGAAGTAGGCAGAATTATTGGAGCACGCCATCTCTGACTTGATGCAGGACAAAGACCTGAATGATGTACAGTACAAGTCTGTTTATGCCTCGTACTCATTGTCCTACCACTGGTCAATTTAGTCACCGCTCTATCTCAGATGCTACACTCTATTCATTGCTGGAAAACATCTTCCACATCTTCCCCAGTTTGGGCCTGTTCTATTTGCCGTCCTCCTCCCACTGGACAATGTCTACTGAACCGTATCTGAAGGCCACAGTGCCAATATTTAGACTGTTATTGCTGCTGACTTTTATTTAGACTGTTATGTTCTGCTCTCACGAGCCCTGTGGTGGAACTTAATGTTGTTTCAAATACAGATATAACCCAAGATGACTCCTCATCGCCAATTTTGCTGGGTCTGAGTGGATTCGTGGAGGAGAAAGGTGAGCTCTTCCTCCATGCCCCGGAAGTGGGGGAATATTCTGCCCCTGAAGGGGTTAATCTGGGTTCCCACATTATATATGTGTGTATCATCATCTGCTGGAGATAAAAGACGTCACAGTGACTATGGAGGAAGAGGACGGACTTGACGGTGGAGGAAGAGGACGGACGTGACGGTGGAGGAAGAGGACGGACGTGACGATGGAGGAAGAGAAACGGACATGACAGGAGGGTTACTGGTTGTAAATATAAAATCAGACTTATTACCTCCTCTGCTGCCACTTCCCACCAATGTCTCCTCTCTTCTTCCTCCTGACTCACCTCTCACCCGGAACTTCCTTTATATAACTGACATCCCTTCCTATATGTACCTGACGTCACTTCTTGCCTAACATAGAGACTTCCTGTCTGGGTAGAAGTGAGATCACCCTTTGTGGAGCTCAGAGGAACTGCAGCCCCGAGAACTGTCTCGTAGTGTGACCCCGGCCTTGTGCTGGGTGTGTATGTTTCGCCATCTGTGTCATTCTTCAACCTTAGATAGCAGGAGACACATAGAGGGAAGTTTATATCTTACATGGCAGCAAGCATTCTCCTTGGGAGGTCAATAGGTTACCACCACTTTCCTGGTGGTCTGTTGGCAATAGTAAAGAGTTGATATTTTCAAAGCATTAAATGAGTTTTGAGGACCTTTCTTGGAGCCCTTTCAGAACCTTCAGCTCCAGTCTGATGGTTCTCCATACAGATCTTACTGGGGGCTTGGCCTGTATCTATAAAATGCTGTTAGTAGATTTCAGTACTGCTTCAACCTTCTGTCTAACTCTGCTAAAATAGAGGCAGGTTTTCCTAGTTCAATTCAGCACTCCCAGACTGAAGCTGAAGGACATGGGACATTAACCATTATATGAAGAAAGTCACATACCCTCCCAGAAAGGAAGAAACACGGCGCCTCTAAGTGTAGACTGCGATGCAAGTTTAATGGTTAAAAAGTAAGTCGGCAACTACCATGTTCATTGATAAACTATAGGCTCATCATTAATATAGATGCTCAGTCCGCCTTATCGCCAAGATGGTAAGCTGCACTGGAATATAGGACAGTAGGATGGTGGGGAGAGGTCAAGGTGGAGGACATCACTGGGATGTACTCCGCTGTGGTGGTCTTCTGCAGCGGCTTGCCTACTTACTTTTTAACCATTAAACTTGCATCACAGTCTACACTTAGAGGAGCTGTGTTTCTTCCTTTTTGTTCCCGCCACAGTAGAGTCTTCTTCACTCTACCACATCCTGCCCTGGTATTCAGACTGTTCCATTCCCTCCTCCACCATTGGATTCCTAATACTGGATTTATTAAGACTCTGTAGATGTTTGGTCTGCAGGTTCCATGCACCTGCGATTTCCTTCCATACCCTTCCATACCCAGAGGTGCTGAGTATTCTCCTTGGCTGTGGAGGAGGAAAGAGTTGTGGAAGAGTGCAGGTATAATTAGTATAAGGGGGTCTGGTGATGCCACTTTGCCTTGCATGGGACAACACAACATAGCACCTTCCTCAAGAGGCTGCTAGTTATATTGGGTAATTTAGTTCTTGTGACTCTCCTGTAATCAGTTGAGCAGCTTGTGGTTGCTTTGGGCTGTTCTGGGCTCTGCAGGCTGCAGGTTTGATTGTTTCGACCTGTTTTCTGGAGGATTCCAGAATATAGTCAAATAACCAGGGTTGGTTCCAGAC